GTTTTGATCTGCTGGGGCTGGTATGCGTTGCGTTGGAGAGTATGTTGTAGGCTCGGCGGATGAGGGCTCTGTTGACCGATGATTTGATCTTGGGGTGGTGGAAGGAGGCCCTGTTGAGGTACCGGTCAGTGTGGGTGGGCTTGCGACCACATATATGTAACAAGAAAACACATCTGCGTAGTTCCAAAATGCGCTGAATTATGTTTAACATTATAGTTTTCATGACCCTATTTCACTCCCTTCTCGGGGCAAAAGCTAAGCAACAGCCCTCGAGTACAGAAAGTTGTCTGAAGAAATTCCCAAGAATCGTGACGTCATAGGACAGAGTCCCTTATCTGGTGTGAAAAGTCACTTACATGTAGGAATCTACAAAAACCGCTCTCCGGGGAATTGTTTTGATTGCGACCACAGCCACCGACAACAAAGTTTATTGGCATTCTTTCAAAATTCACAATTCACGATAGAAATTATTACATACGCAGCACAATGCAAAATAAAATGAGCGCGACGTGTTAAGTTAGTTGTCCAATAGCTCTGCCCTGTGTTAAGAGAAGGGCATAGGAAACAAAGACCAAATGTGGTTGACTTGACACGTACGAGTTACTAACCCGACTATGTGCAAGAGCAGAGAATATAATTCTTTCGCAGACCGATCAACTAATTTGCCAGAACAATGCATTCTTGTCTGGAAAGTGGAGTCCGTCCAATGATGTCACATTTTGGCCAAGATTTGTCGGCTGTCCTCATTGATCTACTTCAATATGTTTTTGCAAAGAGCCCAGGCGGAGACTGAAAAAAGTTACAGAAAATGCCAAATTTTGCTGATTTAATGACATAAAATGGGAGTTAATCCAACTTATTGTATATAGACAGTTGAGACTATCATACATGTATAACGTCAATACAACTCTACATGACCCATCCCCTCATGGGCCTTGGAGTGGTCTGCGCCTGGAGGACTTTCAGCGACCCGGACGCAAGTTGCCTGGACATTATTTCAAAGTCTGAGTGTTATAAGAGAGCGGTGCACATACGAACATGTGTGATATGAAAACAGTACACAAATATATGTCAAAGTAACACTCCAGCCTTGACCTAAGTGTTGGAGCTAAACGATTGACTAGCCGGCACGCTCTGTCCATATTAGTACAATATGCATGCCTTTGCATTTGTTGTGTGCATTACTAACCCTAACCCAAGCCCGGCTCATCATCTACACTTGACCAACCCTCGCCGTAGACAGGCCGTGCATGCCACACTGCACATGTACATGTACCTGTGTACAGTACACACGTCCGTTTGTGTACAATGTACATGTCTCCTCTTATCTTATGTAAAGATGTACCAGTAAATGTACAAGTTGAATATACATGTAGTGCTTGAACAGTTCCAGACGTTGGCATCAGCTTACTTGGGTTTAGTCTAACCTAGTTCTTTGATGACATTTTAGTGTTCCTTACCGCAATAACAATGTCAAATTTTAATCGCATATTCAAGACTAAAGAGGGATGTTAAGAAAAAACTTTGGCTTTGTTGTTAAAATTATTTGAAACATGCATAAGTTCAAGAAATTTACAATTCACCTCTTTTTTTAATCACTTGGCAGTAAATGTGTTGCCTCTTTTACCAAAAAAATCCAAATACTTAGAGATACACTTATTGATTTGATGAAGCACGTTCTAGACAGTACAATTCAGTACTATGGAAGTGTGGATTCCATTGATGGCTCTTTAGGGCTTGGATAATTCTGAACACTCTTTACAACACATAATAGAGGATTAAATGGAATCAATGCATACCCATTTCTATCAAATTGCAATTTTGGGAGGCTTTTCCACAAAAAGAAGACCTGCCTTTTTAATGGAACATACATGTATTCATCACCTTTACCTTCATATTGACTCCCATGTAAAAGCTCTCAGGAGAAAAATCTTTGTTCAAAACCTGTCTTCAAAATCCCCTCAGCTTGCACACATTATGTTCCACTCTGATTATTTATAAAAGCCAACTTTTTTATTCTCAAAAGTTTATGGGGTCTTTAGATTTTTGTATTTAGATCAATCGGTTCTCACTGTTGTCTTATGATTCTAGACTTCCACTATTCGATGAACAATATTTTTATTTAAGTGTCAATCTCTGCTGCAATACCCCGAAAAACATTGTAAAATGACTTTTCCACTACTAACTCCGGCGTAACGTTCACTGACAATTTTCATCTGACGTATTAGATCTTGCCCCTATATTTTGGAAACATGCAAGGTTACTCTTATCTGCGCATTGGTGAACAATTTATTCAGTAAAGTGTAGACATAGATTGCTTTTAGGGATGTTTTCCTTTAGTTTACGTTTTTTCTTGTCGTTTCTGTGTGAGTTGCTCTGTACTTTTTCAATATAATTATATTCACCATCCACTTCGACAAAGATTCTACATTTCACTTATTCGTACTTGCACAGCTGTTATGTGTGCTATGTTTGGTACTTGACGCATCAATGTTATACATTTTGGAGAAAAATGTGGCAAAAAACAAGAAAATAATGTCCACAATACTGGCGCGCTGGCAGCGCGGAACGTTAAAAAGTTCATCAAACTGTGCATGTGCACGCGTCCAGACTTTTTCAGGGCACATAACCAAGTTGCAGTATATGTTCTCGTGGTCAGTGTATGTACATGTACATGTTCATTCATGCAGTATGGCTGGCATGTGTCTCGATTTATGCTTCACTCTTTAAATATTGTTTTCACTACTCGATGGAGAAACTACTTTAGAAACATGTTACTTGGGCTAAACCAACATTCAACATGACCAAGACTATTCAAGCTAAGCTTTTATAAATGTTCAAATCGCATTTTTACGTTCCAAAAATATGGCCATCAAATTTTAAGATGTGATTTTCTTTTGCTTTTTCAGTGAGTGCACTGCTTGAATAGTTTCGGACCTTTGTGTTAGTTGGGTTTGGGTCTCACCTGGTTCTCTGACACCTTTATTTACATGTAGTTTGTGATCCTTACCAAAATCACAAAGATGTGAAATTTCATCAGGTCGAGTAGGACTTTAACTAACACAAACAATTAGTAAACCTTTATTACGATACTCTGATTTTTTGTAAATTTGGAATTACAATTACAATTCAAGCCAAAAATGAGCAGAAGAAGATATGAATTTTGTAAAAGTCGTGTAACGTGGCAGGAAGGGGGAAATGGAAATTTTTATTATTAAAACGAAATGACAATTTAACATGAAACTGAACATTATTAAAGTGTTTTACTGTCACTTGTAAATCATTTTTTCATACACTGACGTAGGTTTACATGTTACTGGTATTTACAAGACGTACATGTAGGGCTAGCTTAGGAAATTGGAGCAGGCATTCTCTACTGTATTCGGCACCCTTGAAGATGTTTTCAAAGAAAAGAATGTCCATGTGGGCCACGCGTGAATAGCGCAAAAATCACGGCAACCCACACGTGAAAACCTACTGTAGCTACTAAAAATTTGTATTTTGGGGGCCCGCGTGATTCACGCAGGAGTCCAGATAATTTCGAATGACACTGTAATGTATGTCTTATTGATGCTTAGTTATAACAGTGTCATGTTCTTACTATTTGAGTCATGTACATGCCTATTTACTGACCTGAAAGCCGCGGTTTTGTTGGTGCTAGCATCAACTGTGTCACGGTTGACCAAAGAGGACTGTTTTTGTGTGTGAAGTGGGCCATCTAAGTGATTTGCAATGCAAAATCAGTAAAAATGTGATGTCAGACACTTCTGTTCTGTGTACTGATGGTTGACACAAGTTCTCAGTTGAAGATGGTTTTGTCTTTGTCATTTCAAAATGACAGTGAAATGGCTTGGGAGTAGCTGTCTTCTTTCTATTGTAAGGAAGCACCCTTTCTCTGTACTTTTAATACATTCATTTGCACTCCTGGGTCCTTGTGTTCAAATACAAATAAATGAAGATTCTATAACTGGTTGTTCCAAAGAAATGCAATTCAACACAACTCTCACAAATTGCTTCAAATCAAAGGTTACAGTGTTTTCCACTTTTTTGACAATGTATATATTTGTAGCTTATGTTGTGCTACGGAGATGTTTTTCAATTACGTTACACATCTTTTTTTTTGTTCTGTCAAATCGAAGTTGACATTGTCATTGTTTCAAGTGCATTCAATCTCTGAATTCAAATCCTAAATTATGACACCCAGAGATGCTACATGTACTTTTCCTATATTATCTGGATTTCCAAGTTTTTTTTAAACAGACCCCCCAAAATCTTTTTTTTCTTTTTTTCCCCATCTGGTTTAAAAGAAAAGGTCAGAAAAGAAAAGACAAACGGGAAGGTGTTCATTTTCACCTCTATGCATTTGGATTTTAATGACAGTTGCACATTTCATGTACGGTATGCATATGTACAGTAGCTCTGTCTCTTTAGTAGCTGTAAAAACAAGGCTCCTGAGCTTGCATGCAATGCAGCATACTCTGTCTGCTGCTGCATGCCTTTGTGATGGTCGAAATGACCAGTGTTTCAGCAGGGCCCCCATTGGTGTACCAAGTACTGCATGGTGCAGTGAACTGTCTGAACATGCACCTTTTTGAGTTGATTTCGTGCATACTGCTCTGCACACCTATGCGGGCAGTTAACGTGTTAAGCACATTTCAGTACATTATCCTCATGCAAATTCTGTGAACTTTTTAAATGACCTCATAGTATTAAGTGGCATCAACTTAGTATTTTTGTTGCTGTGTTAAATCAAGTTGGACAGAGCAAAAATGATTATCTCTAAAATGCATTGTCAAATTTAAATGAAGTCTTTGGCTTTGAAAAGATAACAGTTGAAGCTTTGATATGATACCAAAAACAACCATTTCTGACACTTGAATGAAGTTTGGGAGAAATAAAAATGGGTTGTGTTTTGTTGAGGAACACCCTGTATGCTGTGTCCTGAAAGAATTACATCTTGGAGTTGTCCCTGTTTTTTTAAAGTGTTATTTTCATCTTATACTTTCAGAATTTCCTGGCTGTTTTGTGTAGTTATCTCAAGATGATTGAAAATTCTCTTGAACACATCGAGCCTAAGAAGGATAAGGAGAACAAACACAACACTGAAGAAGCCAGGAACATGACAAAAGATGATACGCCTTCAGACATTGACTCAAGACATGAGGCATCAGATGAATGGTGGACTGACATGGCGGGCCTAGTATTGCAACATGCAGTCTTTAGGGAGACATTCAGCCATAGTGCTAGAAATTTCCAGTACGAGAAAGACAGATTGCAGATATTGGATGTCATTACATCATTCTTCCTGAAGTGTCTAAGATTGTTTGAGTTGCACCTCCCAAATGACAAATTGACATCACTACTTCAACCCATCTTTAAGGAGTCATGTCAGAACTACTTGAACTTTGTCAACCTAGAGATGAATGCAAAGAAAGCAAACACAAGACAAGTCAAGCACGAGTTTAGAAGGGTCATGGAATTATTTGAGGCGATTTGTGTTTATAGTAAAGACTTGGAACTTATTGAGGCTACCACAATTCTACTGCAGAGTTTGAACAGCCTGGAGATATCAGATGCTTATCCAGGGAGTAAGCAGTATTTCAGATCGTCACTTTGCCGTTTGCTTGAAATATTGGCAGAGAGACAGAGAGCTCTGAAATTGAAACATTCGACAAATGCTGTAATCAGAAGTGAAGCGGATGTGTTAAGCTTCAGCGACATTTCAACATTAGTGGAACTAGCCCATAAGTTTGATTGTGATCAGATGGTTTCTGTACTGTCACAGTTTGTGGAAAGTAATCACAAGTTGGTATCGGTTTTCACCAAGTCATCATACATAGACTGGCTAAACAAACCTTCTCAGGTAAGTCCAAAGAAGGTGACATGGCCCTTGTGGTGCATTTTTTACGCAGTCCTTGTGAATGTTCCATACTTGCATGTGTACGTATATACATGTATCCCATTTGTTTTCAGGTTTTTTTGCCATTGTGGTGTCTTTTTATTCATATATGTGCTGTGTGAATTGCCTCTTCCTTCAGACTTGCTCCAGAAAAGAAATGTCATGATGGGTGCACACTAAGTTACTGTGAGAAAATTAATCTTTGCACATGGCTACAATCCTGGACAAAATAGTTCGAACACCTTGTGGGAAGCACAGTGAAAAGATCCCCCCTCTACCCTGTTCAATGTTGTGGTCATTTATTGAACCAACATTGGGCCCAACTTACCCAATGAGAAACTACAGTGACAAGGGGCGAGGGGAAGGCATGTTCCAGCGAATTTTTCCAGGATTGTAGCGCCATCTTGGAGATCGTAGTAATGCTCTAGTACTTCATAATTACTTGTTCCTCGTACTTCTGTAGTTGTGAATTTCATTGTGGTCTTCTGACTTTTTTGTCATTGACAGACTATAAGTCAACTCTTATGCCAGTTAGTGAAGTTTGGCAGTGCAGAACAGTTGCATTGGTTTGAGGTTTGGTGTGAAGAGAGCTCTACACAAGAACTAAGTAACAAGAAAGATATCTTGCTTCCTGTGGTATCGACTTACTGTAATCACAGCTCAGCAAGTAACTACTTTGTTTTCATTTTGTGATGTGCTAGAATCGTATACATTTATATAACAATTCATGCATCACTGTTACTCCACCAAATCATTTACAAGTCAGTA